CAGCCCATTGCATGGTCAGCAAGGACCCACTGTCCCCGGTCTGTAGGACATGGGATAAGGCCGTGCTGCAAGCACAGCTAATCCTGCACCTCGTATCAGTGGAGCTGACGAAGCAGTAAAACCCCTTCTTGAGTCTCTCTGTATACATCTGTCACGCAAATAGAAAGAAAGAAATGGTGTACTATTTGGCCCAAGAGTCACTTACATTAAATACAAGCGTTTCCTTGATGGGAAGCTCTTCAAATGTCTTTATGCGCTGGGGTGGTTTTATCTTGAAAGTGTTGATGTATCTGTTCAAAAAAAAAAGCAGGACAATGTTTGGTGAGAGCGTGGAGCGCGTAAGCAGGAAGCCCCGGGTATTTCTCTGTTCCTTTAAGCGGTTGCCCAGCTGTCATCGAGGTAGTTTACACAAAAGGGGACTTTTTACCCAGAAACCCCCCCCCCACAAAAAAAACCTCACTCCCCACCCCTGGGTGCCCACAGCCGCCCCTCACACAGCACCCAAACCGGGTGACCTGTTGGTCCCCCCCAGCAGGGACACCCCGACGGCCGTCCCAGCCCGACAGGGTCCCGGTGGTGGTGGTTGGTGGGACCCTCAGGTGATGTGGGGTGTCTCTGGGTGTTTTCTCCCACCCAGGTCCAAACCAGGCTACGCACCAAGCTACCGTACCCAACAAGCAAACTCAGTCTTAATCTCGCTCATCTCACCGGACGCTTTCAGTGCTTCCACAACTTGAGCTCGTAACAGGGACATTTTCATTGCGCAAAGGATCGGGCACGGGGGAAAAACCACTTTCCGTTGTAAATATCGCATTGAGGGGAATGTAGTCTTTGCCTTCCTAAATGCAAACAAGAAATGAAAGCGTTGTTCCTGGGACCGTGTGGCTGGTCGCCCCTCCCTCGGTGACAGCCGGCGGTCGTGCCGTTAATACCTGCTGGACGTTTGCTTGCAGAAGGTCGCCCAGCTTTTTCACCAGCTCGGAGAACCTCGGTCTGTCGTTGGGGTTGCTTCGCCAGCAGTCCAGCATGATTTGGTAGCTGTGAGGACAAAAGCAAAGTGAGCACACGGTGGGGTTACAGCTCACTTTGATCCTCTGATAGCTTGTCATTGGAAGAGTTATCTCCTGAGCCTCCCTGATTTTCCAAAGATGCTCTCCAACACCAACGAGGCCTCTTACTAAAAGTAAGAGACTAAACTTTCCACAAAAAAAGAAAAAAAACTTTCTTCCCGCAACACACCAGGAAGACCACATCAAAAGAATAATTTACCCAGCTAGTCATACTTTCCTTTTTTATTCCTCATTAAGCATTAAACTTTTGTATTAAATGTTTATTAACCGGCAATGTTTAGGTTAAGGCATCCTAAGACGACTTATATGAATGTGTCACTTCCTTGTATTGGTCGAGTCGAGCTTTCCTTCCTGCAATAAAATATGTGGAAGAGAATAATAAAAAAAAAAAACTCTTATCTACTGTCACTAAGATAATAAAATCAGCCAATGGGTAATACTCCCAGATAGGCACGACTGACTCGCATCCTTTTTCTTCTTCCAGAACTATTTTTTGGTAAATGTTGCTATTTAGAGTAGCACTCGAAAAGGCCCTGAAGACACCTACGCGTACTTGATTTTGCCTCCAGAAGTAAAATACCCCGTGTATGTTCACGTTCCTGATTTGTGCCATGGGATGCGTGTTGGGCAGGTGCCTCCCCGGGCAGGATGCTCCATCCCACGCTCCGGGCAGAGGGGCTGCAAACTCAGGGTCTCACTTGGACACCCCCCTCATGCCTCCAAAAAGATGTTGGCTGTGCAACAGCAGCTGGAGGCTGCACCTGAAGGCAGGGGACCGGGGAGCGACAGCTGACGGCGGGGTGGCAGGGCTCAGACAAGCCCTGCAGGCGACACGGGCTGGGAGGCTGCGGGTCCCCGTCACCTTCCTCTGCCATCAGACACCGTCTCCGGGAAAGGGTGGACCCTCTTCACCCGAGTGTTTGCGAGGAAACCTCCGCTGTCGCTTCCTAAGTCAAGACGACGTTAATAATATCACATTCCTCCAGCACTTATCTGTGTGCCCGTCGGTAAAGACGAAACCTGGGGAGGAATGAATGACCTTCCTCCTCCGGGCTGCTCGCTCAACTCCCCTCGGAGCCCAGCCCCAGCGGTGCCCTGGGCTTGGGTCCACGTCCCTCCTCGCCCTCTCCTACCCCGCGGGAGGGCTGGGGGGCCAAGGGTGGGAGGGGGATGCTGCTGATGACGGCGAGGAGAAGATACGAGGCAGCATCGGGTTGTTTTTCCTTATGTTGGCACAGGGTACTTTTTGCTGACACTCGTACGTCACCTGCAAAGCAGCCCAGGAGGGCAGCGGGACACAAAGCAAGCAGGGAAAGGCATCTTACATCTCCTCGGTCGCTTGCTCCGGGGCTCGCATTCTTGTACCTTCCTTTAGTCTGCTGCAGAAATCCTCGTCTATTTGGACTCCGGGGTAAGGAGAAGCACCTGGAGGTGACATTGGGAGGAGAGGGTCAGACGTGCCTTGAGCTGGGTACCCGCCACCTAGCCCTGGCCCTGCGCATCCCCCTCAAACACTCGGCTGGTGCTCACCTGGCCTGAATGCAAAAAATACCCACGAATTTGTCTTGAAAAGTATCCCTCAAGAAAAGCCAAGTCTGATCTCTCTATTGGTTTGGACCACCCCGAATTCCAGTAAGCAGAGTATTAACAAACCCCAAATGCTGAAAACCACCTTGAAAATAATAAAGTCGTGGTTTAAAATCAGGCCACAGTACATCTGCGTTATTTTTCTAGTTTCTGTGTTTTTAAGATGCAGCCTGATTGTGCTCTTGGTCTTTTTTCTGTAGAGAAAAAAAAAAAAAATCAGGAAAAAGGAAAATGAAGAGAAAAAAAGAAAAAAAGACCTTTCAGCGAGTCAGACAGTCGCCAGGTTCAGGGAGCTGGGGCTTTAAGAAAAAAATAGCAGGTATTATGAGGCTGACCATCAAATCACAAGAGTTGGCAGGCTGACCAACACCACGTATTTACACTAATAAATGATTGATTGTCCTGAGAATTGTATAGTATTGTTTCCTCCACTGTTTGCCTCTTTTGTCAGCCTCTACGTTGAACCCAATTAAGATTCTTCTATTCTGACGGTCATTGTTGTTCCCACTCAGTGTACATCTCGTATCCTGCCTTTTCCACGTGAAAGAAAGGGGAAAAAAAAAATATAAACAAGCTTCACTAGGTTTTAATTTAAGATTGCATGCTCTAGTTCATCCTGCAGCATCTGTGCAGATGCTTGTTCGCCTGCTGTGTTCAGTAGCCCGGGTGAGGGGGTGCTGAGTCCCTCCTGGGCTGGGGGGGACCCCCCCCTGCTCTCAGGCTGGAAATGGGGGTGACGCAGTCTGAGACATGCAAAGACCTCTGTCTTCAGCGCCCACAAGAGAAGTAAGAAGGTTTTGAGGGAGCAGCCAGGCCATGGCACTCGGTGTCTTGAACGCTTTCTGTGGCACCGGAGGTGATGCCTCGGTCCCTGGCAGCTGCCAACCCAGGCCCGCAGCTCTGTGTGATCTCACAGGGTTCCACATTCAATAAAAACCCTTAAAAATTGGCCCGATTTTCCTGGTTTGTGCCATCGGTCGGACGAAGCACCGCGACTGCTCTGCCCGTGCTGCCCTGCATCTCTCCCGAGGGTTTCTACAGGGAAAAGAGGGAAGCGGAGGTTTCGCCCGTGGCAGAAATAGATGGCAAAGTTCTCCGATAGCTCTGCTGGCCGCTGAGGCTTTCAGCCTCGCAAGTGTCCTTACAAGCACCAAAATTTCCCGTTCACGGGGACGTGATACGCACAGTTCTCCCCTCTACCCCCGCAGCCCACCTCTGCCTGATTTGGGTCTTTCCTTATTAAAGATCTGACAAAAGCCTGCGGAAGGGAATGGAGCTGAGCCCGGCTCCCGGGATGCAGGGTTAACCTACCCAAGGAAAATATCTCCCACAGCAAGACCCCGTAGGACCACACGTCGCTTTTTGTGTTGTAGATTTTATCAAATATGGATTCTGGAGCCATCCACTTGAGAGGAAGTCGAGCCTGGAGTAAAAAGGACAAACCTGACTATTATTTTCAAAGCCTGAAAGAATTTAATCGTAGATGAATCAACTATATATTGTTATGTAAATAATTACCATTCAAACAGGAACCTGTGGGATTTCCTTACAGGCAGTCGAGATAAACCCACACTCATTCAGACACTTTCTTAGCAGACTGTCGGAGTAAAAGGCTGTTTTTGACATGTGTGTGGCAGAAAACACCAGACGTTGGAAACCTGTGACCAGGGTGACCGTGCCTTCTCTGTGTGGGGACGTGGGGATTTGCGAGAGCGGAGATCTCTCGCCAGCATCCTAGTGACAGGGGAGAAGACCCTACGTCCAAGCGCAAATCTGTGATGGTGTCGGAGATGTTCTCGGGGAAATTTTCAGAGCCTGAATTACAGGGTTATATCAGCAGCCCTCGAAGCCCCCTCAGCGCAGCCTGTTCGGGTCTCCTGAGCTGTACCCGAGTTATCTGAACAACCTTTCCCAGCTAATATGTAGTGCTGTACATCTTGAAAGCTATTTACGGATGAAGGAATAGCTGGCAGGTGGGTGAGACCTCCAGGAGGAGACTCTCTGCCCGACCCCAATGCCCACACCAAATTCCCGGGGCATCAGCGGATGCAGGCACAATTTACTGACCCAGCCTTGCTGGCAGACCTGGCAGGGAGCTCACTGCCAGCTCTTTGCAGCAGAAACAACAACAAAAAACCCCCAAACCCAAGTAAGCGTTGGAGGCGACGAGTCCAGCTCAGCTGCTGGAGGCCCCACGAGCGGTGCTTGGCCCTGGCGTGGGTGCGTGGGGGGGACACGCACCTTGTTTCGGAGGGGCTGGGGTCCTTGAAGGAAGTCTACTGAGTAAGGGGGTTATGGTGAGCCAGCCAAGGAACACGTCTGAAAAAGATCTAAAGTCTTAACAGGGGAGAGCTGTGAAACAGTTCTCATGCCCAAGCCTTGTGCCTGAGGATAGAAATGCTTTCCAGGTCTAGAGCGCATCTGGCTAGCTCATCGTCACACAAAAACCGTGATAGCTTTCAAGCTTTTCTACGTTCAGGAAACGTGAATGCCTACAGAACATTTTGGTGGACAGTTTGAAATGATATGTTATGAAAATCTGGGTAAATAAACAGCATCTTGACTTACATCTCCTTTTCTCACATAATCAGGATTCTTATAAATATCTCTTGCAAGGCCAAAGTCGCAGATCTTCACGACATTGTTCTCAGATAAAAGGATGTTTCTGGCTGCCAGGTCACGATGAATGCACTATAATAAAACAGTTTCACAATCAAACTGCATTTCCTTAATCCTGCCCACAAACTTCCTGACTGTCTCCCATATCCTTTTAAAAATTATTATTATTATTTGAGAGATCGATTTAATATTTTTTTGGGGGAAGTTGACTGTAGTTTCCGTGAAGTTACTGCAAACAGTGCCAGTTCCTTAAAAAACCCCAAATATTTCTAAATCCAGAAAGTGACAAATTTTTAAGCCCCTTGACGTTTGCAGGGAAAGCGCCGATTCCCTACCTAATATATGTTAAAATGAAGAAAAAAACCGCACCACACCCAAAAGATCTTCCCTGAATGAATGAGCTTGACCCACCGCCTTCAGCCATGATCCTGTGTTTATGGACTATGGAGACTTGGATAAACACACCGATATATTTATAACGCCAAGAGGAAAACGGCTCTTCCTTTGGGAACTCTCCCAAGGAAGGTGTCACTGAAACGTAGACGTGATTTCACCTCTGAATCCCATCCTTCTGCAGGGAAAAAGCCCAGTCCCAAACTCGCCTTTCTGGAGGAGAGGAACTCCATGCCTCTGGCCACCTGAAAGCTGTAGGAGATCAGGTCCTCCATAGTGAGGGGCAACTTGTAGAGCTCATCAGCATCTGCAAAGGTGGAAAACGCCGTTTGTTGCAGAGATCACTCACAAGGCAGTTATTTCCCCCTTCTCTTACTGACCCCATAAATTACTCCCATAAATTCACTCTTCGTAGAGGAATATTCGAAGGTCAACCCACTGTCACTGGAAACAAAAATAGTGCTTGCTTTATACCCCGCGCTTTGGACACTGCTGTGTTTTCCCCAAAGATAAGGAGCAGTCAGAAGAAACAATCACACATTTTCCTGTCAGATTTAGTAACCCTGGAAATAATCTTTTTTTAAATCTTCTACCCTCTGGACATGACCCTGTGAGCGTCTCCCACGGATGTTTATTAGGGTGATAAATGAGGAAAAAAATTTCAGGGATGCACAGTATGTTGTAAAAATATCACAGACCGTGCAGGGACAGGAAGGAATTAATACCTACCCTCCTCGTCCTCCTCCACATCACTCAGACTTTTATCTTCCTGGAACCCAGAGCTTGCGAAGCTCTCGCTGCTGGTGACACTGGCCAGCCTTTGTTTTTTGCCTTCCACCGGCTCAATATCCTTTTTCTCTTTCATCGGCTCTCCTTGCGGAGAGGAATCCTTCAAACAAACAGAGGAGAAGAGAGGGCTACATCAGAGGGATGGAGGGGGTGGGAGAGGAACCGAGTCAGACTTCTGTTGCCTTTCCATCAGGAGAAAATGCTGGTCCGTGACACGTGCGGTCACATCTCCCGTGGGTGTGGGTGTCCAGTGCCACCGCGGCAGGTGGGGCTTGGTGGGAGGACTGCGCTCCGCCAAGGTTGCCATCCCCGGAGGGCAGAAACATGGTGGCTTGGGAGCACCAGCCCATGATTTTGGGGCAACCTAGACGGTGGGCTACCTCTGATGTGGTGAGGATTTGTAGGGTCTGTGAGTGGACACGTCTGCTGAGCTGTGGCTCATCTCAGCCTGAAATGAGACATCTGAAAGGGCCTGTTTCTCTGCGGCAGCCAGAGAAGGAGCGTGGTGGGATGAGTTGAGAAGGATGTGCCCGCCGTGCAGATGTGCCAGCCCTCTCAAAATAAAGCGTCAGGTTTTTGTCCCAGGCTGCTTAAGGCACCTGCCTCTATGTCCCTGCGCAGTGCTTGGTGTCGGGCTGTAAGCCCTTCCGACGAGGAGCAAGGGCACTTTGTGTTGGAAATACAGCTGCTTTTGGAAGCAGCTCTTCCCCAATGCCTGTATCCAATGCTTTCATGTTACGGCCAATGATGGTTTAACGGGACAGGTGCAACACTTTGGAAAATGCTTTCCCTCTGCTACCCGGAGAGCAGCCGGACTACCTGGCCATGCTCTTGCCCCCTGTTCCCTTGTCCTGTGACCCCTGTGCATGGCCAGAGCTGGGCTCCCTCCCTCCCTCCTGCCCGGGAGCCCTTCCCAAGGGTGCTGGAGCACCAAGTCTGGGCAGGATCCTCACCGGGAGGCGAAGTGAACAGTTGCCCCCAGGGTGGACCCTGCACGGCCACGGACCCCGCTGAGCATCCTACGCCAACAACCGCACCTTGGAGGGCACTGCTGCTGTGTCTCATGTCGAGTCCAACATGGACTCAGCCAAAGCCCTTTGGAGGGGGACATCCTTCCGAATGTGCCCTCACGCAGAGCGCTCCCCGAAAAAAACCTGGAGATGCTGCTGAGCTTTTGGCAGAGCTGAGCAGGGGTTTTGAGGACTGCCATTCTGGGTCCAGGCTCCTAAATTCCACTTCAGAGCCCTTAATCCTTTGGGGGATTTTGCTGAAAATGCACAAGCAGGGATATAATTGGCACATTTGGGTTCAGCTTTGTACTAAGAAGCATGCTGCAGATTGGATTCAGAAGGCTGTGGGGTGTGAGGAGGAGACTCTAATCTCTTTTCCTCTTGATAGCCCTTCTCCTCACACAACAATAAGATTACTTGCAAATCTCTGAGTATTAGGGTGTCTTGGAACACGAGCTTTAGATGGCATTATCTCGGTTGCGTTCCCAGCGGTACTGAAATCAGTGGGCAAAACCACTTCCTTCGGCTTCGCTGACACCAGCCTCCGAAGTGACCCCAAGCTCGGCAGGAATGGGTTCGTCAGCAGCGGGGCGAGGGCGTGTGGGGACGCTTTGGATGGGATTCACTTCCTCTCACTCAAGATGGCTCCGACCGAATTACTCACAGCAGTCCCCTTGCATAGTCAGGGGAGAGAAATGAGTCCTTTCTTGGCAGAACACATCCCACACCAAATATTAAAATAGGTCAGGTGAACTGTACCCCAAATCCATTTCTCTCCTTTGGCAGAAGAGATCCTAAGGAGACTAGCCGAGAGGCTTACATCTACATTACCGACATTTACGTTGGGTAAGATGAACCCTACCAGAGGCATCTGCCTCCTCACCTTGTTAGGGCAGAAAAAATTCCTCTTGCTCTTCAGGTAGTTTGATAAATTCCCATACTTGCAGTATTCAACAATCACCATCAGAGGCCCTGGGCAAAAGGAAAGCACATTTTGAGCAGCGCAAAGCAATACAAGGCAGCATCGGTTCTGAGAAGAATAGTCTTTCATGCCCATAGATTTGAGTCCAGCATAACTAACAACAGGTCCTAATGAAGCAGAAGGCTGCTTGAAGGACACTGGACGTGTTAGCAAAACAATACTGTTTCTGGAAGTCAGGGAAAGGCTTAATTCTTGAAAGCTGGGTCATGAATCTGGGTCCTGAGGGACCCTCCGTTTCCTCTTTGGGCGGTCTGCTTTCAAACTGGAGTCCTGCAGCCCACACACACTTGTTGAACTAAAATAGGTGACGTATCTCAACCAAACGATTGCTTATACTGGCCCTTTGATTTTCTTAGTGGAATATCATGAAGGATTTTACAACAGTTGCCTTGTGATTCATTGTTCAGGGCCAGCAGCTGATATCCCTTGTTCCCAGCCTTTCCAGATCATGTTTAACTTCAGCTTGAGCAGTGAAGTGAGTGAGATAAAGGACAACAAGTGACACGGTCCTAAATTCACACTTGTCTTTTTAATACTGAAAGAGAGTTTAAGTAGTGAAATTGTTTAATCACTTCATTAAATGACTAAAAATCTCTTTTTATCTTCCTCTTTTTTTTTTAAACTAACCACAGGACAAACTCAAATATTTCAAGTCAATAACTTGACCTCTGGATGAAAAGCAGCATGGCCAACTAACTGTTATTGGGAGGTGATCCAAACCCATTTTTAGTGCAGTGCAGATTTTTTTACCTCCATTTTTCGTGCAAGCTCCCAACAAATTCACGATATTGAGATGATGACCAATGTGGATCAGGATTTTCAGCTCAGTCATCAGTGCTTTGTACTCGCTTGCTGTGGCCCCTTCTGTAAATGCAAAATAAAGTCAACGTGAAATGGCAAAGAACTGGACTTGCTGAGCTTTACCACTTCTCGCTACTTTCCATTGAAATAACCTCCATTACTGGATGTAGTTCGTGTGTTGATGTTCTTTGTCTATTCCTCTCTGTTCAGCATCCTCTTACTCGCAATAAAACCCATAAAAAGGGTTAGGCACTCAACTTCCTCCCAGTAGACTCGATGTTATATTTAGAACGGAGAGAAATTTTTTTCACATGAATAGTTTTGTCATTTCAGCCAAAAAATGAAAGAACAAATAAAAAGGGATTTCAAGACTATAATTAACTCTATCTAGAGTAGGTTTCAGCTGACCTGACTTCAGCCATCTAAAGGTTATGTGCTAGCTTGATCTAATCAACATCTCGAGGAGTCAGTGGCAAGAACAAAGTATTTCCAGAGGCTGATGCAGCCGTCAGCTTTCACCATCTGTACAGGGAAGAGATGAACCACCCCTTGGGGATGCTTGTCTGGTTCTGCTCATTACAGAGGAAGCCTGGAGTATTAAGACAGACCAGGGAAGTAAATTTTAACTGGTTAAAGTTAGGTGACTGCATCTCACCCTTACTAGTTATGACCAATATTAATAGTACTAATGTTATAAGAAATCCCACAACTGAACCCAAAAGATTGTATTTACTGTTGAGTGAAATTTTTAATTGCCTTCAAGCAAATATTTTTCTGCAGACTTTTATTTCGGTAAGAAAGCAAGGAAAAACATATTGCTTTGTGTAGACCCAAGAGGACTTTTTCAGTTTAGTGGCACCAGGGGTAAGAAGAACAGTCCAGTGGAAAGAACCTCGAGCTAAGTCTTAAAGGGCTTGGTTTCAACATGTGAATGGAAACAGATTTTCTTGGTGGCCCCACACAAAACTTGTGTCACATCTATGCAGTGACCCACTATTCGTCTGTATAGGTGATGGCACTTTCCCTCCACCTCATGGGAATTCTGTGTGTACAATGCCCATGAATGACTGCAGAGTTCCTGGATAATCTAGTGAGGACACAAGGGATGGGGCAGATCTCCCCGAAGTTTAGGTGCCCATAGCGAAGATGCCTACAGAAGATCTCATCACCACAGACTCTCCTCATAGTCAGCAGAGCTAAACAAGGGCTCAGCTCGCCATATGCAGGGATTTGCATTTGCGTTGGGTAGGAGGTTGGACTTGACATCTTTGAGGTCTCTTCCAACCATAACGATTCTGTGATTCTATGATCTGCCTTAGGATGGGACAAACTGTTGTTTCTCACCACTGACAATAAAGGGAATTTGAGGGACTAACTCAGATACAAGCATCTACCCTGCACATGCACACATGAATCCCACCATGAAGACTTCTAGTAGCTGCCGGCTGCTCCCATCTATTGCAGGAGCAACCCCTGCTGCCTTGATGGTGCTGGTTGGCACAAGAAGCCTGCTGATATACATAAAGAAATGCTGAATCTGGCAACCCACTCTGCCAGCGCCTATGTCTGCACGTTGGCAAAACAGCTCAGTTAACTAGGGGTCAGGCGGTGACCCGGGTGACAGCCCATCCACTGAGACCGGTGACACAGATGGCTGTTGGCCCACTGCTGCAGGAGGTCTGGACAGGGATCAAAGCTTTAGTTTCCTCCCATTTTCCAAACACGCTTGTTGCAGGGTAGTTACTCATTTGGCAATGGCCAACAGGGTATTTCTGTGCTTCTGGAATAAGAGAGGGGAGAAAGGTTTGCAACCCTCTCAGATGCAGATTCCCTCCTTGGGGGTGACCCTGGGTATCACAGTAGCAGGTACCACCCCCCCCGAAAGCGTTTGACGTTTTCTATTGCAGAATGAGCCTGTTGAGGACAATATCAAAAGGGCAAACCCTACTCGATGTACAGCTGCCAGGTCACTGCTGGCAAGAAATAGAAGATATTTCAGGTTGAGTGCTGCAGGGACAGACCGTAGGTCTGAAAGTACTGCACATGTCCCTTCAAGGGCTGGAAGTGACACGTACAGCTCTCCTAATAACTGATAAGTAAGCAGCTGTGAAGCTGGAAGCCACTGGGTAAGAGGGATGTATTCAAACTATGTCTGACCAGAGCCAACTGAGAGCATCAGGGATCTGAGCCTTACTGGCAGAACAGGAGATGTGTCCTGGCAGAGAATGACACTGAAGACGATTCAGGAATTAAGACAGATAAGTGATGCAGCATAAGCTCCCATGGCCATGCAAAAAAAAAGCCTGCTATGATTCTTAGATACTTAAACAAGGGAAAGCTAAATACGTAGGAAGGGATGCCACCAGGACTCTGGGCTAGGGAATTTGGCCACGGCTGTTGCAGGCCATGACTGAATATCATCCATCCTGCCTGCTCACTTCCCAAGTGCCCTCTTCAAAGTGATGAGGGTCTTTGTCCTTTCTGCTCCAACGAGAAAAGTGGCGGTGAATACCTGGGAGATGATTTCACTTTGGGAAGAGTGCCGGTGTACGAACAGCGCGGGCAAATCCATTACACAGCCTGGGTGTCGGCATCCTCAGCCCCGTGTGGATGAGCCTACGGATGGTCCAGAGAGGACACATCTGTGTAACAGCTCCAAGATTTAAACTACTCAATCTGTTCACCTTAATAAAAGGGCCTTCATGAAGGAAAAATCGTTATATACTCTAATAGAGAAGGTTAGAAGGAGAAGCAAAAGTCAGACAGATGCACATTAGATGTAAGGCACCTGTTTTTAACAATGAGATGGTTAATCATCGGAACTAATGACCAAGGAAAATACGAAAGCTTCCATTCGAGCATCTTCCCATCAAGGTGGTTGCCTTATGCTTCAGCTGGATTTCATTTACGGTGCTCAGTATCGGGTCAGTCTAGTGTAACGGTACAATGTAGGGTACATGGGAAATCTGATTGCTCCTTCTGATCCTGCAAAAGTGACTCTTTCATTCTTTCTGGCATTTGAAGTAGTGGAACCAGATTTTTAAAAAACTTAGGCAATCAGGTTCTCATCGCATCTAAAACTTTCTCCTATATCCTGTGGCAATTTATCACCCTTTTTACTGTGAATGCAATTTTTATTTCATAGTTCTGTCATTTCATTTGCAGTGGACCTGAAACTTGGTGTACACATTTTGGAGGCTTCAGAGAGTTATTAGTGGGGGGATAACATCACACACTCTTGCTTTTGATGGAATCATATTAGAAGTGGGACACTATATAAGGAGTCATTTTTCCCAGCCCAGCTTTGCAGCAAGATACCTTTCAGCATTTTCACAGCGACTATTCTGCATGTTGGTGATTTCTTAATTCCAAAAGCAGATGCTTGTACCACCTTTCCAAAAGCTCCATGTCCGAGAGACTTTCCTGTAAAGAAAATAAATTGGAGAGAGACATTCTGGTAAAAAAAGACATCCTGTCAGCAAATGGCTTCATAGACAATGAATTGAAAAGGGCGCTTTACACCGAGTCCCACGTGTATTTCCAACATACAGATGTTTGAGGGGTTTTGTTTTGTTTGGGTTGTTTTTTTTTAAGAGTAAGCAGACAAACCAGAAGACAGCGTCATTGGAGGGAATTACTGCTATGATTGAAAATTATCCTGCATGAATGCAACCACTCAGTGGAGGTACACTGGTTTCTGACCCAATTTTTTCAGTCTAGCTCTGCCGGGGAAAGCTTTGCTCCTCTTTCCCCCCGAGCTCACCGCACCACGCAGCAGGCACTGCTGGTCGTGTCTTCAATAACGCAGGGCCTCTGCCTTAACTCACACACACACTAAGATGCAGCTTTGCACAGATTTTGGTAATTCTTACAAATTAAATTCTTCCTTCTTGAACAAGGTGCCTTCAAATTATCTTCATTCCAGGGAGGCAGCAGCAACTTTGCATCGCAACCCCCTGAGTATGTGCACAACCCCCTGATGCTCTTCCTTAGCAAGCCCTTCTGGGTTGACATCACAAAGTGGTGAGAAGCTGCAAATCTGTGGAAATGAGACCTTTACCTTTGCAAAATGAGGTCTGGGGGATTCAGTGAGAAGGGACTTGGAGTGACAAGTGATGGGTTTGTTCATGGTGGGTACGATGCTTCCAAGTGTCCAAGGACTGACACTTGTGCTCTACCATCATCAGGCTGCTACTGAGCGAACCCCAGGAGAATCACCCAGAGGTCCTTGAGATAAATCAATGGGCATCAAGAAAATTCTCCAGCAGTAGAAGCTGAGTGTCCTCTTCCTTCATGTTCAGAACCAGGTAAGACTCCAAGGGTGCTGCTATAACTTTTCTAGAGTTCCTGACATTTTATGACAACCTTATGATCTTCACAGCCTCCTTCATGATTTATTGTTTGAAGCAGGGAGTATTGACCACCTCTTTGACACTGTGCCTGCCTGCCTCTGCCCTTCTCTCTAGAGCGGTTGGTGGAGTTGTGCTCAGAGACATCTTGTCAGCATGTCAGCTAGCAATAAATTTTATTTCCAAGTAACTATTTTCAGATTGTATCAACGGTCTCAAGTTGCACCAGGGGAGGTTCAGGTTGGATTTTAGGAAGAACTTCTTCACTGTAAGAGTTGTTAAGCATTGGAACAGGCTCCCCAGGGAGGGGTGGACTCACCATCCCTGGAGGTGTTCAAAAAACGTTTAGATGTAGTGCTTTGAGACATGGTTTAGTGGGTTTAGCGGGCATGTGGCATCGGGTATATGGTTGGACTTGGTGGTCTTCGAGGTCTCTTCCAACCATAACGATTCTATGATTCTATGGTTCTATGATTTGTGCTTCACCTTCAGCAGAACCCAGGCACCTAAGTGGCTAACAAGGGTATAGCAGCAGGCTTTGTGGTGTAGAGGAGAACAGCAGAAAATAAAGGCCATCTTTTCATATAAAAGCAAAGGATAACGTGCCATATATGCACGTGACATAGCCATCTCCGTAGGATAATTTCCTTTTCCTATGATGGACATCTGTTCGACTAGCTCCCATTTGGACATCTACCTTCTTGATATCTAAGTGAGAGATAAATCCCACCCAGACACTCACAAGCAGAGAAAAAGAGCTCCTGTCAGTTCCAAATCAAATAGATACTACCTTTTATATATGTATCACATTTCTAAACTGTAATTCTCAGTATGTCTGTCAGTAGAAGCAAATAGCATATGTTACCAAAGCAATGGAAACATGGAGTATGCTAACCCAAGAAACCCCCAGAAATTTATTTCCCCCCTCGATGTGCAAAAGCGTTGATTTTTTTTACAGCATACAAAAACCGCAAAGAACTTAATCTACGTGGCTGAAAAGCATCAACAGACTCAGCTTTGGTATCTGAAGGGCTTAATGTTTGACACACAAATACAGGTGAATCGGGGTATATCTTTCTTTGAAAATCTCCAGTCACCTTTTTCAGTGACTACTTCATTCAGCAGATGTATAAGGGAAGCAGCATTAAGACAAAGGTCTCCGTTTTCTTGGTGAACTGATGTTCTTAGTCCTTAATGCATTGACTGTTCGTGGTTTCTACAAGAAGAAGTTGCAGTATGAGGTCCTATAAAACCTATTGTACCTTTGTTTAATCCGTAGCTTTAATCTGTTTCCATCACTGTTAACTCACTTCCCACATCGAGATAACCTACTTAGTCACCACTTGGAAAACACACCGGTGAGCTCATAAAGCTGCGCAAGGCTGCTAACCTTTCGTAAAGGAGAATGAGGGCTGGAAACAACACTTCCTTCTCTAAACAACAGTTGTGATTTAATGGGAAACTGTAATAACACTTGATGTATTAGCCTTTATTGCTCCACTATTGTTTGTACCGTGCTAAATGTTAGCTTCAACTTTTCAGCACATAGATTGAACTCCACAGTGCAGTACGTAGGTTGTGTCTATGACTCTAACAGATTGCTCTTGCAAAAGCCCCTTGACACACAAAGTAATTACAAAACTACTAAACAGAGCAATTAAACAGAGGAATATTATGTTGCCTAACTGTCAGAGCAGCCAACTTGTCACAGCCTTCAAGCAGCTACACCGGCCGTGTTTGGGGTAAAGCTCAGGTGTGAATGTTGCAGCACTTACATCCAGACCAACGAAGCAAAATGCTCGACTTAAATTTTCTGAGCTTGACTTTGGGTTTTTGGGGCAACTCAGAACTCATTAAAGTGAACACAACCCAACTCAGATCTCATTAAAGCGAACATAACCCTCAGTCACGGAGCTCTGGATCAGGAAGTTTCCATTTCAATCCTATTTTAGCAGTGTCCTTCAAGCATGTGAGTTGCTGGATGGAACATCAGGAAAAAGCACGTGCAGACACCTCTCTCCATGCCTGTGGGAAGGCAGAGGCTGAAAGGTGTGTTCGTTTCTCAGGTCCTTTGGGGCAGTTTGAGTCATCTGGGTTTTCCCCACACACGGCTTCATATTTTCCATTACGTGATGTACAACAGCTCTGCACGTGATGGAGAATGGAAAGTGCTCTGCTCCGTGCCAGGGCTGTGGGCTTGCGGTGCGCGGGAGGGAGGGGGGCTCAGGAAGCCCTCTACCACCGACGTGTCTGACGTTGCACTGGAGCCATGCGGCAATGCTCCCTTGGGGTCAGCAGTGTGTGACCTCTCGTCCATGAGGAGGATCGAGCCCAAGAGTAAGGTGAGAAATGCACGATAGCTCGGCTAACACTTAGGTGGGACTGCGATGTTATCGCCGTCTACACCAACAGTGATTTATAGCACCAGCGTTTCTCTGCCTGATGAAAGGATGACATTTTGCTCTTAGTCAGACAAATCTATACCGAGTTCTAAATATCTTGACTTCAGCGGTGCCCATACAAAGCTTGCTGTAATGGCTGTAGCTTACAGATGAAGGGGGAGGCCTGTTATATAGGCATTGCATCACATCTGTGGGCTGTACGTATGCGCGTTGGAGGAACACATAGCAAAGGAGATGTGGGCTGAAAGGAGACACTTATTTGCAAAAGTTAGAATTAATATGTATCCTGGAGGCTGAGTAGGTGGAAAGAGAAAAACAGACATATCTGATGCTGGAAGGGGTTACATTTCTAAATAAAAATATTTTTAAAAACCATAGAAGCACATGTTGTGTTTGTGAGAGACTAATCCTCAGAGACTGCCAAGGTTACCCGAAGCCTGAGCCAACTGCCATGTAAGCAGGACTCGCACTGAGCTAATCCAGCATACTGCACATACCCAACTTCTCCGAATCTGGTTCTCATTCATTGTCAGCATTCTTTATTTGTTTACACCAGTTCTTCCACTTTTAACTCATTCTGTGGTCATCATTCCTCACCTCCAGGCTCCAAACACCGACTCTGCAAGACGTGGATGTTTTCCTTGGTGTTTACATACCATTTCTGCTTGATTCTTTCCGTGGGATTTACATACAAATAAAGCAACACATAAACCAGCGATCACATTGTCTGCACATCGGGCTCTTGGTCCATCATTGTAAGAAAACTATTTGAAGACTGAAGACGCTCCAGCACAAGGCTATGTTTCAGCATTCCCAGAACTGTGTATGACAATTGTAAATCGCCAACAATATATTTCAGCTGTGCTTATTCACATCTGGTCACCTTGTGACTTCTAGCAGGCGAATTAACTGTGAACCTAATTGTATGCATGTTTTAATCACCCCCTGTCCCTGGTCCCCAGAGGACAGAAGGAATCTGTTGCAATTCCTAGCTAAAAAGCAGGGATTTTCTAGACCTTGCTGTAGGACAAATGCAAAGCATGCCTGAAAGAACAAACAGCACTATAGCAACAGGGTGAGCTTATCACCGATATTTTAATGTTGACCCTTTTGCTAAAATCTGTGTGGTTTCTGGAGGGATTCCTCAACATCAAAATCTCATCCCTACCCTCGTGCCCTCCTCATTAGCTCCACACTAGGCTAAGCAAGTAAGGAGTGCTCCCAAATCCATACCTTTCATTGAGGGGTCCATAAGCAAACTAGCTGTAGGTTCAAAATTTCCATGGGTATTTATTTATTTATGGGTGGACTCGTGTGTCACATTCTTGCACTTTATGGTGCCCTGACAAGAATGTTTATAAATCTACAGCGTAGAGGGGAAACAGGGAGAGTGTGCTGGAGAGAGGAGGAACCGGAGAAACAGGGAGGGAGAAACAGTGAGGAACCCATTTCTGCATAGGATTTTTTCCAAATGAGTACATAACCAGGTTACAAGGGAAGAAAATTACAGTAAATGCCAAAGGTCAGGCTCCTGAGTCTAGAGAGAGGAGCATCCAAGTCAGCGGTCTGATTTGGAAGCCTTCAGTTGCCTTGTTTTTGTGTCGTGTTTTAAGTAAATCAGTCCGCAAAAACTGGGGGTATTTAAAAGATATGTAGGTATGGTGCTTAGGGACATGGCTTAGTGGTGGGCTTGGCAGTATTAGGTTTACAGTTGGACTTGATGATCTAAAACATCTTTTCCAACGTAAATGATACTATGATTCTATGATTCTATTTTTGTTTTCCTACCTGGAGTCAAAATATACATATGGAAAGTCAGATAGACACAGTAATTGCTGTAACAGACACATTAAAATGTTGTAACTAAAGTCATGGACCAGGGCAATTTGTATGGAATAGCTCACACCAAACCTGGCGGTGTGTTGTGCTGCGTGTCTAAAACACACCCAGCTCCTCTTT